CACGGGTATTTGTCACACGCGTTAAGTTTTATTATGTCGCGTATAATATAAGTAACGTTAAGAGGAAAAAAATACTTTATTTAATATTAATTTCTGCAGTACTTTTATCTTACAGGAAAACCCATTGAAATGTAATATACCAATCTAATTATTATTATCTATGAATATATTGTCTTATTGAGGAAAGTAAGGAAAACACATTTTTTTTTTAATGTGCCCTATTGCACGTTTACAGAATAATAAAACATCTCTTCGAAAATAGGTTGCCTTTCAAAGTTATAACTGTGAGAGATATAAAAAAAATGCTTGAAACTAAAGTTCAAAGCATTTTAAAGCACAATAACTCTGAAAAAATGGTTTAAATAACAAATTTTTATTTATAAGAAATTAAATTCAAAAATATTAACTTAGTTTTAATCATTAATTATCTTCTAAACCATTGAAATACTATTTTAAAAATTTATTTCTCTTTTTCATATTTCATTTCTTCTTTCTATTTTCTTTTTTAATAATATTTGCTTTATAACACGAAACTCAAACGGATTATTTTATTCCTTAAATGTACAATTCCGATTCATATAAAGAAATATGGTTTTTTTATTTTTATTTACAAATCATATTAAAAACTTATCAAAATCAGAGAAGACATTTACATTTACTTTTTTAATAAAAGAAAAAATATTCGTCATGCGCAATAGAAAAAAGGAAAACAATATTCAATTACCTCTTTATGTTTATCTGGCAACATTTTTTCATACACTTTGTTAACAAGGTTGAAAAGGTCTATAACGTTTGATACGGTAATTGCTTTCCTTATTACTGGAAAACAATCCATCTCGAGATTTTTCTCCCCGACATCATCAGCCAGTACTAAGAGATCTGCAATGAAAAGATATTTTAATCAGTGCAACTAACAATGTATTTTGCGTTATATTTAATTCAAACTCACCTAACAAGTCATGTACAGATGCTAGATCGAATTTGCCAGTATATAAATATTTAAAAAAGGTTTCATACACTGCATATACATAAATGTCACGATTGATGATGCTATGAAGGAAAAAATTCAAAAAAATGATATAAATCAATTTAATATTAAAAAGCTTTTAAGCAAATATGTGTTTTTCATACCTTTCTGTACTTTCAATGTAGCCGAGCAATGTTCTGAAATACGAACAACGAATCTTCAAGATAGACTTGTGGACGTAAATCATGGATCTGTTTCTGTTTTTTATCGTAAGGTCACTCGTTGACTTTAAAGGCAAGAAACAAGATTTGTTAAAGACGTCATATATCATATACATATTATTATCTAAGTATTTTCTTTAATTATATACACATAACTGATAACATATTATAAATATAATGTATGATTATACATAAATATGGTGTAATAAGATTAAAAATGACACTTAAAATAGCAAATTACGAAGCGAGAGAAATTATTATAACCTTGCAAAATATGCCAAGAATTTACAAAGCTATAATAGTATGGAACTATAATGATCTACAATTGATTCAAATATTTACCAATCTTTTACCGATGACTTGCTTGAGGTTTTCAGCACGTCATCAGCTACAAGAGTTTGAAAGATCCCTGACATTTAAAAAAAATGGAAATTGAATTATAAATAGAATAGAAACTAACCCGATCGTTGAATACAGCTTCCAAATCATTTAATATGTTACATTCCTCATTTGTAAAGTCATGAGCCATGGACATTGGTGATTGGGCATTTTTCGCGTTGGATATGTCAAATATGTTCGTATATTCACAGACAACATATTTCTTCATTGTTAGACCAAGATCACCCCACAAATAAATAAATCCATTTTCACTGGACTTGGCAATGCTACAATTTACTATGGTGGCGATATCTGATGCTTTCTTCATGTTAGGTATATTCACCTGTCAATCACCAAATTCTCCGATATATTTTATGTTTTATAATACAATTACCGTAGCACAAAATTTACCTCTATTGGAGTAAGTTTCAGATCTCTTCTATTAGGTTCTGATTGCCAATATCCGTTTGAACCCCACGCATACACTTTTCCTATATTAGTCAAAGCAAGTATGTGTGCCTTTCCACAGGTCACTTTGACTAACATAAGTGTTAAGATTAGAGAAATGATATTAATCTATACACTGCTTGTAGCCATAAATTTTGCGATATATCCATATGTTTTGCATTGTAAGAAGCATATTTTAAAAAGAATTACCAATTGATTTGCCTGAAAGTTCGGTTACTTCCAATGGAATTCTTGAGAATAAATATGTTGAAGGAACACCCAGCTGAATATGCACATTATCTCCCCAAGTGTATATTTTACCAATATTTGTTACCACCACAAAAAAGTTTTCTCCGCAACTCATGCTGGTAATCGTTTGATATTCATCTTTGATATTAATTTGATACATACCCTCCAAAGATAACGGGGTGTAGCCAATCTTGTAATATATCTAAATTAAATGACAATGTGTTCAAATACAATCAGTGAAATTATAGATTAATAATTATCATTGTTATATATGTATCACAAAATCGTAGTTATTACTTTACCTTGCCATCATCAGTTAAAATGAGAAGAGAATATGTGTCATTTGCGGTTTTCACAATCCTTGTATTTCTCCAATCAATTTTATGCGGTATATAACGTATAGAAGGTATAAACGTACTCCATGTATGTTGCTTGTAAAACATAACATGATAATTGATTTTATTTAATTGGTTTAATTATAACAGTATGCTGCATTTGTTTGAACATGTTAATGTCATACATATATAGGGTATCGAATATTCATTTCAAACAATTCGGTTTGATTACGGTTATAATCCAAGACTACTCAACTTTTGGTTTTGGTGTAAGTTTCAATTCTTTTAAGTAGTAACGCCAAATAAATATATAATTATCGAAAATTACCGAAACTGATAGTGACCAAGGATTAATTAAATTGTACGTTTCCGCGGACGAATTTATATACGTAACTCGTTGGGGATGTTTGTTATTATTCGATAATATGTTACTCAACAAAATTAAAAGATATTCTAGAATAGGCAAACTTCGAGGTAAAATAACTTCATCAAATATCATCGTAAGCCTATTGCTCGATTGCGTACAAACACTTTACGTACAAATTTAAAATTAAGTTTAAGTAAGAAGATACGTAATTTCTATTCTTAAAGCAGAGAAATATATTTTAAAGCAGAGAATTTTTTTTTCAAACGGGGAATTTGTATCCTGAAATTAATAGAATTTGTGTTTTAAAATTAGAGAATATTAGAATAAATGGTATCAGCAATCAAGTAGGCAACATAATAAATATAGATAATCGAGCTGTTTGTAGCAATATTTGTAGGTAATAATACATGTAAGTAAAAATAATTTCGTTTCTGAAATTTTTATTTGTGCGCAGGTGTATATAGGCATTCGAGCTATAGGCAAATGAGATGTAAGCAAACGGTGCAGTAGGCAATCAGTTTGTAGGCAAACGGGGTTTTCCTTCAAATTGTTATCCGTCCAAAATTTTTGTTGCAAGTTCCTGATAATAATTACAATATATTTACTTTTTAATGGGATTATTAGATTGTATATTATTGAGAATTTATGTATAGAAAACACGCGTCATAATTTCTATTGTTCCAATTTCTATAATATAAAAATTAGAGCAATATACATTATTTATCAAAGGATATAAATGTATACAATCTTTATTCACATTCCATACCATATATTAAATAAATTATATTATACTTTATACTCTACATATACTTTAATTAATAAACGTTTAAAAAGTATTTTAATACAAAAGAATTAGAATAATTTTATATTTGTTGAATAGCGTTTAATATTGTTGAATGTGGTATTATCTCATGATATTTAAATACTTAATATATACCTCTCCGTCTTCTGTTATCAAACCAACGGCCCACATCAAATCGGGATAGTAAATTAGTAACTTTATTTCTTTGTTGAACATATTTTCCACTTTTGCTGTTACGTCACCGAAAGTGGGGCATATAAGGCCCCAATTGATCTCGAAGTACAGGCACGATAGCAATGCAAGGCTTAAATAAAAATAATTGCGATTATCGGATATAAATGACCGTAAATATTACATTAAGTATAATTAAATAAGTAAACATATTTTGTCTACTTCTTTCGCGCGAATATTAATAAATAATAATTTTAGAAATTCAATTAAAAATATATAAATTGATTTAAAACAAATTTAAAAAGAACAAGGTTCTGCAACAGAGGGAAAAAATAAAGAATAAGCAAATGGAGATCGTATAGATTTCCTCAGTTAGAAATTATATTTTTGAAATAATTCCTATTCTATTTCGGTTATTGCTCAAGTTTGATTGCTTATGCTCTTTGTGTTCATAGCTCTAATGTTTCATGAAATATACTTTTTGTAACATATTTAAGAACAGTTTAGAACCCCGATACTACGTAGCTTTCGAAAAAAAAAATGCCTTTCGTTGTTATACATAATTTTAAAAAAGGTAATTATGTACAACTTTCTCAGTAATACACACTGGAATCACTTATGCTCATGAAATCAGAATTTTAATTGATTGTTTATCATATAATTTTTTTATGACGCGCAAGAAGAGTTAATTGGAAATGGAATTAGGTTTCTTTGCCTGCACTGTAAGGTATTTACTCCCTACTTTAAATGCTCTCTCTCTCTCTCTTTCTCTCTCTTTCTTACTTGAACATTTTAACATAAATCCCAATATCTATTCAAGTTTTTCGTACTTTTTTATTCAGATTTCTCGTGTTTCCTTCAATTGCGTATATATACATATATATACACACACATATACATATATATATATATATATATATATATACACACTTCTCATTCTAAATTCAAATCTTTTTAAGCAGTTTAAGCAATATTAGTGGAAAGTATGCCTCGGAAGTGCCAATCTATTATAGACGCAGTTGGTGACCGGACTCTTTATTAATATAATTGCATTTTGGCCATGCTCCTATTATAAAATACAATCAATACCAATTTATGACTAATAAGCCATTTTTCTTTGAGATAGGCTTGCCACGCTCTTACTAGACAGACTGTATTGCATTTACAATAGTATTTTCATTGAATTATATTTTTCCATTATAATTACATTTTTTTTCTTCAATATTTATTTATGTTTTATTGATCTGAATTTGTATTATAAGAATTAATACGTGAATTATAATTGAAGACGGAATTACCATCAATTTACTGTGTTAAGAATTTATTTTATTTTATGACTAATTACTAATTAGATATCTTTTGACTCTCAATATAAATACATATGTTAAATTATTATCACTTTGTTATTAAGAATGAGATCACAACACGAAATTGTATTGCTTTAATTTTATTGGAATTTAATTTTATTGATAAATTATGTATTTGATATTATGTATTTGATAACATATTGAAAAAGGCCAGAATGTGGCTAAGATGTCTATGTCTTATATTGTTAACATCAGAAATTTAAATAAATGACTTTTGCTTGACGTCCTATGTGTTGCGTTTGCTCCTTCTGTTGACTGCTTATATTTATTAAGCTACTATCTAAATTTTTAATTATAGGTGTTTGTTGTTTTTAATCTTCTAATTACAAAAGGAACATTTCGCGAAGTACTTTTATAAAAATTTTATTGAAAATAATAACTCACAATACACAGTGATAAACAAGACAAAATTAAGTTAAAAATATTGATAATAATAATAAAAACACATTATAATTAAAATATGTCTTAAAATCTACCTTTCACAATTGAAGGCTAGGCACAGCTATTCGTTTCTAGCTTTTCGAATCTGGTCCCTCCCCCCCCTCCCGCTGGAAGTGATCTCTAACTTCCGCATCATATCCTTGCTTATCATTCGTGAACAACATGGATTATCCAAAACATAAACTGACATCATTGCCATCATTATGAGGTGATGGTGACAAATAATATCAATTTATTTCTTAGGAAATGAAACATTATAACAGAGGATATCTACGAACGTAATCTATTAAAAGCATGAAGTGTCTATTTTCGCACTGTAAAAAAAACTTTCAGAATATGAAAAAAAAGAAATTACTTTGTTCTTACAACAAAAGAAATACATAATACATGCACAATAAAGTAAAAGATTTCATATAATTTGCAGCTTTAACATGTCCATTTTATTTTAAAATGTATTATATCAAATCTTAATTGTTATTAAGATTACATCCAGCTAATGAAATTGTCTTACACCTTAAAATCGTACTAAAATTACTCTGCAGATGTATGTGTGTGTGTGTGTGTGTGTGTTTGTACACATTATATAATTACATATACAAATATATATTAAATTATACAGATGTAAATAAGCACGAAATAAATAAGTTGCTGCAGTGAAATCTTTAAGTGTAGTCACAAAATGCGTGCAATTTAATTTTGGATTATTAATGTTCGTCTATTAATATTTTCCATTTACTCGTTTATGTATATTTTAAAAATATATAAAAAAAAAGAGAAACTTACCGATGTTTATACTTATCTAAGCTTCCACTCTCTTCATTTCCAAAATTATTATCAAACTTCAGCAAAATAGACATGATAATGATAGATATAATATTGTGTAATACGTAACAGATGTGTACTGATGATTGAATGCGAAGAAAAAGCGAATAACTGTTTCCTTCAGAGTCGATACAAAAGTCTGCCTGCGTGACATTGAGTTGAGTATATATGTATATAATTTGCTTAGGGCTTGTGTTTATGATGACCGTGATACGTATTATCGATACGAGTTCTCGAATAAACATTTTCGCACTTTGATAAATTACTATTTCAATGTATGTAACATATAAGAAATTAGATTTGAAAATTTCATACGATCTGCAGCTTTTTCATGTCGATATTGTATTAAATAATTATATTGTATTGAATCTTTATAAACTTATATTGTATTAAAATGTTTGAATTAGAATCTTAATTATTATTATATCCAACTAACGAACTGATCTTATTATATATGTATACAAGTCTTAAAATCGTACTTCAAATAATCTTGAATGGTTTTATGCGTATATATATGAAAGTTCTGTATGCGAGTAATCTCATTCTGGATAATTAACGTTCGTTTTTTATCATTTTGCTACTTGTCAATGTATATCATGTAAAAAAAATAGAAAGAAATAGAAACTGCACTTATACTGATGTATGAAGTTATTTAAATTTCTATTACTTTCCTTATGCTATACAAACGCGTTTTCCCATTTTCTACAAAACTTAATTGATGCGAGGCGAGTAATACGCAGGCGCTGACGTCACAAACCGGAAAATGAATTCTTTACTCCCAAATTACGGCTAAAATACTGGATGGATCGCGTTTTAATTGTGATATTCGTAATTAGGAAAGGCTCCTGAAGGCTCGTACAGAGCTATTTTTTTTGTAAAAAGAGGCATAACAAAAAAATATTTCTGGTCTCCACGGGTCACTCCTGTCGACCCTTTTAATACTCCGTGGTCTGAGTGTTGCAATGGTGCAGCCAAGAGAAAACGCTATCATATTGCTCGCGATTATAATTTATAGCGTTTTCTCTTGGCTGCACCAGTGTAGGGTGATTGCACCAGGTTCATCTTTTTTCCTTTTCCCTTCTCCTGGAGAGAAAAGAAAGAAAGATGAACTAGTGCAAAAGTTCAGCAATAAAGAACAGACTGACTGTCTGAGTGTTGCACTGATTGTGAGTGGTGCAGCCAAGAGGAAACGCTATTAGCAGAGAGAAGCCTGAGAGCGGCCATGCCCGGGATTTAACTGTTACTTTATTTTGAAGCGCCTTTATGTCCACAAAACATCGACATTGAACTATGTAGCCAATGTCCACGATCGTGTCGGCAATGTCCACAATTTACCGTTATAAGTTTGAATCTTCCCTATGTCCATGATTATCAATCCGTTAGCCAAACAAAGCAGACAACCAATCGATGTGTCTGAGACCAAGTCAGAATCAGTTCTTTTTGGTTGAACTTTTGCACCAGTTCATCATTTTACCTTTTCTCTTCTTCTAGAGAAAAAAGGAAAAAATGGTGCACACAAAACACGAATTTTATAATAATTGCAAATAAGCGGCATTCTCTGTTGAACACAACCACTAGGCCGATATTTTATCGGTCGACAAGGCTTTTCAATAGCTGCAGAACAGAGAGATTCTCAGATCATCTATTCTTGAAAGGAAACGTATATATGTATATGAGAAATCAGAAAAATACTAATACAAAATTTATTAATAAGTTATCAAAAATAAAATTTTGAATATCTTCTAATAGAGAAATAAAAATTGCTGACTTTTAAGAAACTTGAAATCAAATATTCAAACAAATTAATTTCACGAATTTTGTCTTATAATACGTGTCTGTATAAAAATGGAAATAGGAAGTTGTTTTCTTTACGTTAACTTAGCCCGTTCTTACTAAATATATAGTTATTAGTAATTAGTACAAACGAGTTAGAGAGGCCCTCCAC